GGAATTCTGGGAGTTGAAGTCCACACGTCTTAAAGTTGCCCAGGTTGAGAAACACTATGCTAGATTATGAAGTTCCAAGGAGCAAAAAGCCGATTTTCAGGCCAGAATTGCTGTTTCATCTTTAAGGGACCTTCCAAACTGCAGACAGGGTAAGACAAAAACAAGAACCCAGGGCCAGGAAAAACAAAATCCCTAAATTGGATAAAATGCTACATAAATACAGGTGATACAAGGTCTCCTCCGCATGTTGTAATTTCTCCTTTTCCACTCTAGTGCACATTATAATTTGGAGGCTGTTTTGGAGTGCCTCCAAGCAAGGCTTTGTGGACAGAGGCAAGGTTAGACACCGTTTTATAAGGAGAGCTGAAAGCAGTAGGCCACACTGCCCTTGATAGGTCCACTCTGGTTCTTATCTCTGGCAAGCCAGAGTGATTTGGGGATCACGCTTCTGACCAGGGGTGACAGTGGGGAAAAAAAAGACGTACAATACATTGGGGCATCGGCACAGTCAAGATGGTGGTTGCCACCGTGGTGGCCATCTTGACTTTTTTGAGCCCTTCCCTGGGGATGCCCGTCTTGGGAGAGTGATGGAGGAAACCTCATGAGGTCTGATGAGCTTGCAAGACTTTGGCCCTTCTTTTGGGGATGTATGAAGATGCCAACATGCACCTCTGTTGCCTCTCTGAAGGTTTGCAGGGAAGCGTCCTGCTGATGTTCAGGAGAACAAAGGCCAGATGTTAGAGACCTGGAATGACCTTCTGTCAGAGCTATAAACGAGACTGGGATGTCAGAAAAGTCCCAGAAGTTGGCAAGGGCAAGCCCCTTTGGTAATGCTAAGAAAGCAACATGGAGATGTCCACGAAGTCACCAGGACTTGAGGGAGACATTAAGCTTACAGCCAGCTGACCATGGTTGCTCTTCAAAAAGCCAAGTTAGAAAGGAGATGGGAGACTACCAGGAGATCCAAAAGCTGTAACAGACTGGAATGTTGAAAAAATACTCTGGAAGAAGGCAGGGGTAAACCATTTCTTTACTGCTATCAAAACGAAACAACTACTACATGTGGTCAGCCCTTTGAGGTAGGCAAGTTTAAAAAAAAAACAAAAGAGTAACGGGAATATCTTTACTGTTGCAGGGTAGAATAACAGAATCTTGAAAGCCTGGCAGAGTTGCTCTCTACTCCATCTTATACCAACCAAAATCAAGATGGGGTTATCCTGAGCTTCTTTCTCACACTTTCTTCTTTCCCGGGACTGCGTCACCTTTCCTGAAACGTGTCCTTGAATGGATCATTCTTTCCTTCACCATTCCCAGGGCCAAATTCCATTCCCTCGCTCGTGCCCACGGAGCCATTGGAGGGTATCCCTCTTCCCTTCCCAATCCTCTTTCAGCTTCACTCTCCGCAGGAACCCCGCTTGTTCTTTTCCGTTTCGAGAAGAGGTGCCCGTTTCTTCCCTCTTGAGTCATACAGCAAAGCGCCATCCTGACCATTGGCATCGCAAAACAGATCCCAAAACAGACCCAGGACGACGGATGGGTTGCTTGTGACGGGCACAGCGGCTGAAGCAGAAAGGAGTAACCAGAATTTTTTCTCCAGAAGGGTTGGACTTCTTCAGAATTTATTCGTACTCCAAAATTCAAACCATGAGCATTTTTAAAAGTTTTACTTGCCTGTGCTGAAAAGTGGGGTTTGCTTTGGAGTAAACACAACCCAGATTAGTCTGTACATTAAGCTGTAGCACATTTCTCAACCTCAGCAACTTTAAGATGTGTGGACTTCAACTCCCAGAATTCCCCAGCCA